CCTTGAAAACTGCAAGGCCTCGTCCAAGCAGTCACTGCAGGGTCAGCAATGACTGAGCGCAGACAAAAAAAAAAAAAACACCTGTATTTAGTATGTAGTAGCACTGTGGAAAGCATCTGGAGGGTTGGTTCCCAAGACCACATTTCTACAAGGCTCACTATGACAGCTTCAGAGCTTTTTCTCAAGTTTTTAGCATATATGTGCACACAAAGAAGGGACACTCAGATGCACAAGTGAATACACGGCACTTGGGTATATGTTCCTTGCTGTGCCATTTGCACTGTTCACATCCTGAGTGAGCTCTGTGACAGAGCTGACAGTGCAAAAAGCAGATCGCTTCTCCATATAGCACACTAGGCAGTGATTCTGAACAAGGAGCTGTTTTATGCATACCATACCTATTTCAGTTGCATCAGGCTTGTGAGAAGCCACAGCTGTTGAGTCTCCATTAATGATATCCAGGAAAAAGTCAGCGGGGTTATTGTATGGTTCACACTCATAACCTAAAACAAAAAACAAAAACCCACAAAGAAACAAAATGGTTCTGCATCATTTCAACTGTTGGTGAAAATAGATGGCAAAGCTCTTCTGACAATACATTCAACATCTACACTATAGCTTTGCTAGAGTTGGGCCCAAACAGGCTTTCTAGATTCTCCAGTAAAATTGAGGGCAGAGAAATTAGGTGGATTTCTCTGAATTTCCCCAGGAGAAGCAAAAATTATCCAACAATTTCAGAAATGCAGGTCTCCACCTTAGCAGAGAGAGTACCACCATCACTGATGTTTTCCTTTAGGATTTAATGCTGGTGAGGGAAGCCATTGCAGAGATGATTGTTCATAGAAGGACAAGACATTTCCATACGTATCTCCCATGACTACTTCATAATAAATGTTTTCCCAAAATCATTTTATAGAATTGAATTAGAATTGGTAGGAAAATATAGGAGAATTTCTGTGCCCTGCACTAGTGTTTACATATGGAAATGTGCACATGGACACTGTTAGACTGCAAAGTTTTCAAAATACACGTATTTTCCAAATTTTGCTCATATAAACATTGGTACACCTGTATTTAGTATGTAGTAGCACTGTGCAAAGCATTTGGAGGGTTGCTTCCCAAGATCACGTTTCTACAAGGCTCATTATGACAGCTTCAGAGCTTTTTCTCAAGTTTTTAGCATATATGTGCACACAAAGAAGGGGTACTCAGAAAACTGAGGAAGGGCCTCAAAGTATGATGAGCTTCTGAAGAACAAGACCATCTTGATACTTTGGTTGCTTTATGCAACCAAATATATTACACAGCTCTAATACATAGGCTTACATTAAATAAGGTAATTATAATTTCATTCATATTGATACTCCATGAGTAATCTTGCCCTTTATCTGGTGGTCTTTGAACTAAGTGTCATGTTGGATCTCTGGCAGATTAATCTCAGTGGTAAATACTTTCCCCATCAACATTATGTTTCCAAATTAAATCAGACCCCAGATCTGTTTTTTTGAAGGAGAAAAGGTGATATTGAGACATTCATTAAATAGCCTTCTGAACACTTACCAATGGTCTTGAAGTATTCTAATGTATTCTGAGCAGGTCCATGATACAAAAGTCTTCCTGCAGCCAGCAGGGTCAGATTATCAAACAATCTGAAGATGGAGTAGCGTGGTTGGTGGATGGAAAAGATAATTGTTTTCCCTTGGTTAGACATCCTGCGTAGAGAGTAGGAAACTCATCAGAAATACGTTAAACAGCTAAAGCTAAATCCTTAAGATTTTAATTTTAATTTAATTTAATTTAAATCTTAAGAATTAAGATTTGAGACCTTGCAAATTAATATTGATCGCTCAAATCCTGAGTTTGGTTTTTATTTGTTTTTGAAAAAAGTTGAATTAAAATATCTACCTACCTACCTACCTATCTACCTATCATGTTGTTCAGCTGTGCAATATGTGAATACTGTGACTGTGGTATTTTTCTTCTCTCTTTTTCTTTTCTTTTCTTTTCTTTTCATTCATTCATTCATTCATTCATTCCTTTTTTTCTTTTCAGGAGAGAGGGGGAGGCTGTTACCAAAACTGTTTCTGTATTATATCTTGATCTTCTGACTGGGGGGGTGATGTTGTAGAAAGCGGATTCCTGTTGTTCTATACATTGTGTTGTGCATGGATCGAAGATTGTAGCCCCACTTCCTTTTATTCTATGTGTGGTTTCTGCATGGAGCACCTCATCTAGCAGTTACCTTTTCAAGAGTAGCAATACGGCATTGGCTGTGCTGGCATCAAGGCCAGTGGTTGGCTCGTCTAAGAATAAGATGGCTGGGTCAGTAATGAGCTCCATTCCAATATTGGTTCTTTTCCTCTCTCCTCCTGATATACCACGAATGAACTGTGTTCCAACCTAATGGAAAACGAGAATGTCTATGATATTGCCTTCTTGAAAACATTTTCAGACAGAGATTATTTAACATCCAACAGTAGAAGACTCATTATTGAATTTGATAAAGAAACTGCAAGATGTATTCATCACCACTGGTATATTAGCACTGATATAATGTTAATGCATTGTCACCTTTGGGCACCATTCTGCTGAACCCTAGTTCAGTGTTGATAAGAATAGCATATATCTGGTTTAAGTATTCACCCTGCACTTCACCTTAGTTTATATTGCCTAAACTTTGGTTCATATTAACTTCTGCATTATTAATCAGAAAGCTATTACTACACTAAACAACTACTTTCATCTCATTAAGACCAATTTATCTCAGTCTCACAGTTTGGTAGCCAGAACTTTGTATTCTTCTTATCTTTTTTTTTTTTAAAAAACTTTTACAAAATCTGGTAGCAGATATCCCCCATGTTCTTCACTTCTCCCAAAAATTGATAGTGCATTACTGTTATTGTTCTCAGACTATGCAGAAGTGTTATTGAACATACGTCTCCCCATTAATGCCAGAAAGCCAAATTGCAGTTGACTTCAAAAAATGAGGGGAGGAATGAATTCCTGGAGGATATGGATATAGATATAGATAAAGATAAAGGTATAGGTTTAGGAATAAGTATAGGTAGAGATATAAAGATAGAACAGGATTCAGATCCAGATCTAGGTACTTGAAGGCAGATCTTCACATATATATAGCTGCTATCTTGTACCCAATAAAGCAACATATCTAGGTGTGTCATGTTTATGAGTTTATACTGTAGGCAAAGTCCTAAATATAGGGTATCTGGAGAATCAAGATATATTGCTGACAAATATTCTTGAACAATAGGTCACACAATGAAAATACATTTCAATTGACATTATAGTACCTTTTCCAAATCTTGGTGTGCTCCAGAGGGTTTTTTTTTTTTTTAATTATATCATATTGGTTGGCATGGTAGAGTTATAGTTCTAAACAACTAGAGGGCATGAGGTTGGGCAAGGCTGTTTTATGTAATGGATCTGGCTTGAACATTTTCATCTCAATCTTATTATTCAGGAACTCCCCTGGGTATTATTAGCTCCTGAAACCCTAGCAATAGCATCACTTACCATCATTAGGTAAGTGAAGACTAGAGAAGTCCAGTTCTAGCACTCCCTTTATGGAACTCAGTCCTCAGGGAGATTCAATGTCATTTACCTTTGAATCTGCCACTTTTGTCAGTCCCAGCTCCTTGAGGATCTCATTGATCCTCTCCTCCTTTTCATGAGCCTTCACTGTCTTTGGTAGTCTGAGCGCAGCTGAGAACTGGAAGTTTTCCCTCACAGTCAAAGTCCCCATCACAACATCATCCTGAAAATTCAAAGGAAACATTTAGCCTATTTCCATTTATTTGTCTCAAACCAAAGATAATGGTGCACATGTCAGATTTCAAGGCACACATGCAATTTTTATTCCAGATTCTTGTAGCACCAAAAGAGAAGAAGGAGGAGGAGGAGGAGGAGGAGGAGGAGGATATAAATCATGGAATAATCCACTCCACACATATCCAGATTTCTTTTGGATAGAAGAAACTTACCTGTAACAGTTCTAATTTTTCACTGTGTGTGGTGAACGGTAAGGTGAAAAACTCAGAGACAATCAATTACCTGTACTACGTATCCAGAAATGCATTTAAAATTGGCAGGCTGGGGGGCACCATTGATGAAAACATCCCCAGTTAAGCCATGAGGATCTTTCCGTGCTGCTAAAATATCCAATAATCTAAAAAAGAAATCAGGATTACAATACGTTTGTCACATTTTGGTAGAGATAATCAAAGCTCATTTATCCCACCTGTCATAGTCTAGCTTTGCAGCAGTTGCTATTGAAGCATGTAAATAATATGATTTCTAGTTTGGTCTCTACATTTTCAAACATAAGCAACTGTAGAACATCCCAAATTACTTTCAGGATTTGCTGATATGATTTGCACGTTTATTTGCTTTTACTCTCCATCAGAATAAAAAGTCTTCACAGATCATCATTGGCTACAAACATGTAATAGGACTAATGGTTGGGTTGGAGGAGGGGGCAACCCACCATTTATTTTGCTCTGAGTGCCAGATGAAATCTGACACCAATGATACTTAGCATTAATAAATCAAATCAGTTTATAATCCCCATCTCATAAGTGAATTGGGGCTGTAGACTCAAGGCTTAATTTTGGCCTAAATTTTAGATTTTTTGTTTTTGTTTTTGTTTGCTTCTCACATATCCCTTTTTAATGAAGAACAAAACCCAAAAATCTTGTCTGATAGTGCTGCAGAATTCAAAAGCTTACGTAATATTTCATATATTTTCAGTTAGTGATATTAAAGGTATGAGTATGGATTTTGGATTTTTTCCCCCCTGCTGAATCAGGGATGGATTTTATGTGGAAAAATAAACACTCTTACAAAAATCTCACAGGGTGCTTTTAGGCAGTCCGATCAAAAGGCAACATTCCAGCTCCCCCACCAGTATGAAGGGAAGTGTGTACATACTCCATAGTGTATAGTGTCTAAAGAAGAATCATACTGAACAGCTCAAAATGCAGACTGGAAACCTGGTAGTCGTTCTTTACTTAGTGTACTACCAAGACAATGAAGCAGTGTGTTTGTGTCTTTTAAGCCAAAAAAAATGGATATATTTGTGCACAGAACTACTTCAGCTAGAGACTCAGGCAACCAGGAAGAACCAGTCACCTCTGAAAGGAATCCAACCCTTTTCCAATTGGACAAGAAATCGCTTGGAAAAGCAGCATGCTGGTACCGCTCATAGGGCCAAACTACATGTTACATTTAACATGCAGCTTGCCCATGTGTGCTTGTTTTTCAAATAGCAGTGCAAGGAGTGCAAATACAATTGGGACCATGGTATGCAGAGAAAAGCTTTGACCCTTGCCTTTCCCACTCTCTCTAAGATGCTGCTTGGTACAGGAAGGAACCCCTGTCTGGCAACATTATCTAAATATCTAAAGAAATGCTAAACACATTTATGAAGAAGAAGGCTTTCAATAGCCAGCTTTCAGTTCCAGGATTAAAGGCAGCATGAATGTCAGCTCTTGAGGGACATCCACAAGAAAGTACAGTTGCCCTCATGTTCTGTTTGTGAGCTTCCCATAATCCTCCAGGTGGTGATGATGAAAAACAGGACTGCCATGTGAGAGAGGCCCTTGTCTAATGTGCTGTCCTTTGCAAGATCCTGGGGAGGGTGGGGTAGCACTGGGGTAGAAGGGATGTCAAAATTAACATCCAGGAAGATGCCAGGATTATACCATTCTCTCCACAGTTATGATCTGATTCCATGTTGCAAGGCTGCAGGTATTTAAAGATTTCAAAGGAAATATGTATCACCAAACTATGCATCTGGCATAAATGTACAGTTTGACCCACGGAGTATGGCTGGACTGTCTAAACAAGAAGCAAAAACCTATCTTATTCTGCCACATCGGTATCTTAATGCTGAGCACCTTGGGAGTCAGGCATAATTGGCATCCAGCTCTTTTTCAGCCACAAAGGACAGCACAGCTGGGTAGGTCACCATAATATTATACCTACCAGGATCCAAGCAAATATCCCAACAAAATAGTTGAGGAGTGGACAGAGAAGCTATGAAATTATGATTCTCATCAGAGTAATTTCTGTTTAGTGAAGGATTAGAGAAAACCACTTTGGTTCACTGCTGCAAAACTTACGAAGATTTGCCACTGCCTGTTGGCCCCAGAATTGCATTCAGTCCTGGTGTCATTATTCCACTGAAAAACAAACCAGCAAGGTTCTGATGAGCTCCTTAATCAACTGTACTTTTTGTTCATTAATCAAAATTCATCACTTCGTATGCCAACAGAAAAAGAGCCTCTTGGGTTTGAAATGTGTCTTGGAAAGCACTGTTATGGAATACTTTCAACATACCCCAACACCTGCACACTAAAGGCAAGTTGTCATTCAAGGAAGCTTGTCTGCCATTGCTGAACTTCTTGAGAGAACTTCCCCAAAAATCACAAGGGTCCCCAGCGCAGAAGAAATGTTCTGTGGACTAGTTCAAAGATCTGTCTAGTCCACCTCCTTTTTCCAGAATGTCCAAACAGGTTGAGTACATAAAGAAAACAAACCCACCTCTCCATTCCCCCTTCCCCCTCATTAATAGTCCATCTTGCTTTGGAACTAAAATTTATATACTATTATCAGTAATTCCTAATCATCTGATCTGAATTTAAAGTTTTGTAAGTTGTTTATGGTAGATGGCCGCATTTGGCTTACCTTATCTGACTTGGAAGCTAAGCTTGCCCAGAGCTGGACAACAATTGAATGGGGAAAGTACCAAGGAATCCAAAACCAGACTGGCAAATCGAACAAAAAAAAACAAACTTCTTCAAAGAAGTCAATGGCAAACCACTTCCGTATTGCTGCCAAGAAACTATATGGATAAGTCTTGATGACCATGCAGTCATCAAGACCTGAGCCCAACTTGACAGAGATTTTATTTGTTTGAGGTGCCTAAGCCCGTGGCCTCTCTCCACCCTAGAAGGAAGCCAGTGGCAAACCATTTTCCCCAAAAAATGTTGCCAAGAAAACTGCATGGACTAGAAATTTGCCACGCATCATTACAAATTTGAAGGTGCACAAACACACACGAAGAATAGCCAGTGTTGCCACTAATGCTTCTTGTGGCAAATACTCCCTTTGTGAATCACTTAATTTCAAGACTCTGTATTCTGTAGTATGTGAACAGAAAATCTTGCCCAGACTTTCCATACAATCTATGATTTTTAAAATATCTATGGTGTCCTCTGCCTTACTTGTTTTTTTCTTGCTATCTAAAAAAGAAGTCCATATGTTGGAACCTTTCCTTTTAAAAATGACTCCAGTCCTCTCATTGCTGTTTTTCTGCATCTTTTCAAACACAGTTAAAAAATCATGTAAGAAAATTAATTAAAAGTGCTTCTAGATAGTAATAAATTGAAATCCATTGATCTAAATCTGCAGACATTTATATCTACCTTCAGGAGTTTTTATGCAAAGAGTAATAATATGAACTTAAAATTACAACCGTGAACTCAGAGATATTCTCTGAAACACTTTTTATGGTGTAATTAAGTTAGATAATTTCGGCATTCATGAAAAATTGTTTCTAGCTATCTAAGTGAATTTTGCTCAATATTCTGCTGGGAGTAACCCTTTTACTTTTCACACCGAGTAATATAATTCAGTTAATTATTTATAACGTAACACACTGATGCCATATCATACTGAACTTCTGAGTCTTCCTAGGCCAAAACAATGGAAAGTAAACATTTAAGAGTGAGGCCTAAAGAAGAAACATGCGAGGACAGGAGAGAACTGATCCTAATGTGTGAACTTGGCTTACTATGCTATGTGTTTTTGTACCTGTCCAAACTGTTGGAAAGACAACCCACTTTTAGATCTAGACAATGCCTTCTTTCCCATAACCATTCATTTGTTTAGTGGTTACACTTCATACCCAAAGGATTTTGTAGATTCATCTCCCATTCTGTTCTCCTCCAGCTGATTCTGAGTGTAAGATGGCTTTTTTGAAAAGTGTAGGATATGGCATGGAAGACTATAGTAGAAAGTGTGCACCCCATTTCATGCCAGGGTAATATTTTCTTCACTGCTTCATAGCTGCCACTGGATTCAATCCATTGAAATTTACAAATGGCCACCATATTAATCATCTTGAATAGAAGGATTAGTCACATCTGTATCGCAAGGAATTCTATATCAAATACTTTCTTTGCAGGATGGAATTAATTATAAGATTTGGGGTGACCCATACATGCCCCCAATCAATAAACATTTGATTAGCTGGCCTTGCTTTGTCATAGTCAAAAGTTCATCTTGAAAGAAAAAAGATACAATATATTCTTTCTCATGATTGTGAAACCTGCGACTTTCTGATGATGTGAAAAAAATATCACATGTATATACAGAGTTCAAATACAGTACTGAATGTCCAAGAATGGACTCAACTAGTGGACCAGCTGAAGCTGAAAAAGGTACTCCTTACCATGGAAGCCACTGGTGACTTAGTGACTTAGAGTCACTGATAATGACTCTAAGCAAGATCGAATTATGAGAACCAGTTTAGTGTAGTGGCATCAGGCTGGAAACCAGGAGACCGTGAGTTCTAGTCCCACCTTGTGCACAAAGCCAACTGGGTGACCTTGGGCCTGTCCCTCTCTCTCAGCCCTAGGAAGGAGGCAATGGCAAACCACTTCCAAAATCTTGCCAAGAAAACTGCAGGGACTAATCCAGGCAGTCGCCAGGAGTCAAAAAGCTGACTTGAAAGCACCATAACTAAATACATCCAAATTATACACCTAAAGTTTCAGGCAAGAGCAACCTCAACAAACAAACAACCTCCAAATCCCAGGGATACCATCCACAGTGCTACCATCTTGTGCTAAAAGTTTCCAAAATATTGTAAGTAAACCATTCTAAAAGCCTTAAGGATAACCGCAAAGAAAATGGACTGAGTACACAAGTTGACCTAGATGTACATACTTGATATCTCTCAAAATTTCTTTTTCAACTATTTTTCGACAACCTATAAATCCACTCTTTGTCTTCACTCTGTAGCAGATGTTATGAAAGGTGACAGTACTGGCTTTTGTTGAGTCCGAAGACAGCGGCTTCTGATTCTGGATACCATTTGTATTGCAATCTGCCATCGGGACAGTGACTTCTGGGCTCTGAGACATCTTTCTGGATTATATTTGCTCCTAGGAAACACAGACATAAGGTATTTTTCAGACATGCACTGTCTTTCCTTTTAATTTAATATTTTATTCTGTCATGCAAATAAAAAAATGTATAAATGCATAAAACAGTATTAAACAATCGACACACAAGCTGAAAATTAATCAGCCCTGAAAATTATGTTATTAACTGAACAATTCTAAAAATGTTGACCATGTTGCTCAGAAGTCTTTGTTACTCCTTTCTTGAAAAAGATTAATTCAAATCTTAACAACATACAATTATGAACAATCCAATGTTGTAAATCAGTTGTAGATTTCTGCTTTCCATGTTGTAAAAATTCATTTAGCCAATGCCCCCAAATCCATAATTCTTTGTATCCTGATATCTCCCAAATGCCAAGGATACATCCATATGCATCCTTAACATTAACTGATTGACCCAGAGTAGGATCAACAGAATGCAACAGTAATAATGAATCAAAACCTTATGAAAAAAAAAAAATCCTAATATACTGGAACTTTGCTTTTCAATCATATCTCCAAGCCAACCATCTTAAAAAGAGCTCACCAGAAACTGGGGTACTGGACTCTATTATCTATTTTTGAAAAGGTTTTATATTCTAAAAATGAGAATATGAAGCAATGTGTTTCCATAGGTCTAGATTTAACAACAAGCTTAAGGATTTAATTAATCTCATATCAATGCTAAATGGATTTTATATGGATTTTAATTATTATTCTTTTTTTCTTTCTGTTATGTTCAGTTTATCTTAATCACTATAAAGTAATTTTTTAATTGTATAACTGCTATTCTTTGTGTGTGTGTTTGTGTGTGTGTATATAGATAGTTAGAGATATGGTGGTACTGTAGTTGGTTGTAATTCAAGGAAGGAAGGAAGGAAGGAAGGAAGGAAGGAAGGAAGG